GCAGTTTGTGGTGTGCTGTGGAGGTGTCGGCTTCCCATGTGTGGCATGGAGGGAAATGGGTTCTCTTCACCACTGTGTTGATTAAAAGACACTCATCTAAACCTGTGGCTGAAAATGACAGAGCTTGCCTTGGGGCTGATCTCTTGTAGCCTTGCAATGTGACTGTTTACCCTTTTAAATCCATGGGTTTGGGAATTCGGAGATCAGCTATGCTCATCTAACTTGAAAGTGTGCTAGAGAAATAGCTGATACTCTTCAGGCTTTGTCTCTCGTAAATCTCTCCTACAGTCTGAAATGCTGTGCCAGAACTTTCTTTGCCATCACCCCACAGGAGTGAATTTCCGGCCAATGACCCAGCCCCTAGTCAACTGCTTCTTTCTTAATTTGATGGCTGGAAAGAGCAGAGTGACTTCTGCCCTGAGGAGACAAAGCTGCAGTGTGGAGGACTAGGGGCATTTTGGGAAAATTTAACCATCCCCCCAAGATCCCCCCTCAGTGCTCTGGTGAAAAGGATAGTACTTGATATCACTAGACAGGAGCTTCTCCAAGTGACAAGTACAAATTATGCTTCTTATTCCTGTAATCTGAGCGGTCAGCACCTGGCCCAGAACAAGGACTCCAGCAGGAGAGAACATTCCAAAACCCCAACCACATCTAACACTGTACACGTTGCCTCCCTTATGAAATGAAAAACGGCTTTGCAAGAGAAATAAAACAGAGGTGAGGAAAGCTTACAAATAATTAGGAAAAGTAAGATGTAAGATGGGAGTCAGATTCAACAATGCCGTCTATCAAAAACCTAATAGGAAACAGCTCTATTAGCTTTGTGTGAATAACTAGATGCATATACTCTTAGGACTTAAATCACAAGCAAAGTGGAAATTGCCCAAAGAAGTAAATAATTTCTTGATAGAGACTTTCATAAATAATTATGGTTTGTCTCTGCTGGATATTTCATGTTTAAATCGTCATCGAAATTTCCATTTTAGCTAGAAGGCATGGGATTGTGTTTTTATGATAGATATATAAAAAACCTAAGTACTTAATAGCATCCCCTTAGAATTATTTCTTAAATTCTATTTGCATCCAGAGTACACTGAGGAAACCCAGTAAGCCGAACAAAAACAAAACAGGAACACAATCTTCAGAAATAATTGGGAGGACTTGTGCACTTGGAGTGGTAATAATGGCCGCTTTGCATTGAAGGTTAGCCTGCTGAGTCATGAACAGAGGGGAGATAAGATCTCTGGGACAAAAGCTGAACTGGTCTGATAGACGCCTACAGAGCAGGAGAAGGTTTTTATTTTCATCACCTTTCTTTTTCATCACATAGGATGGTCTCTCTCTACTCCACACTCAGTGAGCTGGATACAGCAAAGAGCATGCGCCGCCTTGGACTGGAGGGGGAAGAACTCCATAGGGTTATCAGGGTGCCCTTACGCACAGAAGTGCTACCCTTGGCCTCTGAGTCTAGTGGAAAGAGTCCAGCAAGGGTAGAGGGATCACTTCAGTGGAGAATCACAGCTGCGGAGAGTAAACACGTTCAGGAATAAGTACCCGCTTCTTGCAATGACTGGCCAATTGTCAATTTGCATATGTGATCCCTTTTTCAAATGGCAGAAAAGAAAAGAAAATACGTATGCAAAGATACACATTTCAACTCTCTTCCTGACTCCAAGGCATTCTTGAGACCCATGACTGAGGCTTTCATTTAAAAGCAGACCTGAAATGTTCGAAAGGCCCAGGGAGTCAAAGTCAACCTTCCTGGGTGTTCAAAGCCATTCCCAACCCCACCCCACCCCCTGCCCCTGCCCCAACTTGGCTCAGCTGCTGCCACAGCCCAGCTGAGCTCAGTTCCTTGCCACACCCTGTCCTTCCCAGTCAGAGCTGCCTCTGTTCACGCTACTCCCTCTGCCTTGAGAGCTCTCCTCTCAGAATCCCGCTGTCCCTTCGAGACCTAGATGGGATGGCCCCTCTTCTGGGAGGAACCTCCTGCACCCCTGGAAATTGGAGTTCTCCCTCTGCTCTTTGCTTTGATTCAGCGTTCGGCACTTTCCGTTCTAAGAAAATGTTACCTGCCAGCTTTTCCCACCAGGTACAAACTCCTCAAGGGCCAGGACTTGTCTTATTCACCTTTGTGAGGGAGTGCTGCAGGCTCTAGGCGAGCTTTTCAGCACAGGCTACGTGAGGTAAATGCTGGCTGATATACCTTTTCCTCTCTATTTAGATTGGGGTGATTCACCTTGTGAAAACTGGAGTTAGTCTTTTCACGTTGAAACCCTTTGAGGTTTTGTTGAGGTATCATATTGTGTCCTAGTCTCAGCTTCTAAGAAGTGTTTATGTGCTACCCTGTAAGAGTTTAGGCCCTGGAAGCTTGGGCCATATTGTGTCTTTCATTGCAAATCCTGTCCATCAGATTATATTTTCCACACTGGCTTTTCCCTTACAGCCAAAACTAATTCTCAATGTGTTCAGATTCAGTGCTGAGTTTGTAAGAAGGGCTCCCTTTGTGCAGTAGGCCCTGGACCTGTGTCTACCAGAGGATTCCAGATTTGTCACTGCTCAGGACTGGCCTTTTGGTTGGTGCCTAGTGAGGGTGGTTGCTCCTGCCAGCCAAGGACCCTGCTGGAACACTTGCCAGGGAAAGTGTTTGTTCTTCTCAGGATTTTTACGAATGGATTTTTGTATAGTTCACTGTGGATCAGTACTTTTCCACAGTCAGAGTGCCTCTGCCAGATGGGTAGTTTCCCTAGGCCTGGTAGAACGCCTTCCGATAAGATTTAGGTGCAAATAAAGAGTTTACCCATTATGGAACCTCGTCTATCAGCCATAGAAGAGGGGAGAGGGCCCAGGATACAGCAGAAGACCTTGAGAGCACGAATAACCCAGCGAGATAGAGGAAATCAGTGTTCCAGCCAATGAGAAACTTTAGCAGTACCCAGGGACCCAAGGTTACTATGCATACTAATGGTCTAATTTGAAACATGAAGGAATGTGAGTTCATTAAAAGCCCAGCTTTTTATCTACTGAAGTTAGGGAGATCTTGTTGGTAAACTTTCAGAAAAACAATACATCTTAAAGGAAGATTGTATATGTCCATACACACACACTACATCATTATATTTTGTGTTTATTGAGCTCTTTCTGGATAAGATGCTTTGTGCTTTATATTAGATATCTTGTTCCGTCTTCACAGCAACCCTAAGAGATAGATATAATTATTTCCACTTTATAAATACTCAAAATGAGGCTAAGGATGTTACCCATATTATCTTACTTGCAATCTAAAATTTTAACTGATGGTTTCTCCAAGTTGTTATTTTTCCTTTGTTTCCCAAAAGGCTGGAGGAAATAAAGCAGCTCAACACTTTTTATTTCTATTGTTGACCAAGGACAAGGATGTTTAAGAGGTTCACTAGAGAAAAACATATCAGTTGGGAGGCCCGAGACCCTTGGGCAGCCATGTGGGAGTGTGAGCAACACATGTTTTCTCTATGTAAGCTGATATTGTAGGACGCAGTAGGTACAAACTAGGATGGCTCTATGGTCAATGGTAATTGCCCCAGTGTTCATCTCTATATTAACTCTTTGCTTTTGACCAGTAGCCGACTGGGTCAGAAATTCTTGACTGGTAAGTAGGCTTCTCTCTTTTGTCAGGGTGGCATCCAGAGACATGAGACTAGAAATCTTGGGTGCTGATTAAATTCAGCACTGGAAGGGGCTGGTGCTAAGCTGCCCATTCCTCAAACTTCTGATAGGTATCTGTCCTTCTACCTGTGCGGATGCCTCGTGTTTCTGAAATGTGACAGGTCCCAAGCTGCGCTGGGGTACACTGGCAGGCATCTGTATGTCATCTGGCCAAGGCACGTGCAGCTCTGCTGTTTTGATCTTTGTTCTGCCTTGAACTTCATGTCTACAGGAAGAGGCAGAAATCCATTCCATCTTTGTGGGTTGCGGGGTGGCTCAGATGCCGGTGAGAGTCTCCTCAACTTGTTTATGTTCCTGTACTCGCTCAACAGTCACTGGCTCCCCCTTCCCCGTCTGCTATTATCCAGGCCTGAGGTTGAAAGGGATGGGTAGTGAGGCTGAAAGCAATAGAAGGCTCCGACCAAAGGTTGCAGGGTGGGGTTGTTTTCTTCACTCCCTCCTGTCCTATCAGGTATGAAAGGAGGAAGGGGAGGAAGGCCGAGAAGGGGGAGGGGTGCACGGTATAAGTACAGGAAAACCCATCTTGGCCTTGGAAAAACAGAATAAGCACCAGAGAATAAAGAACACTCATAGATGATTAGTGGAAACACCTTGCAGAACTATCTGCTCATAAAAAGCAGGTCTCTTGAAATGTAAATACCCTGAAAATCTTCAAGGCTGGAAGATAAACATCCTGAGTTTATCGTCCTTAAAATTGTGCACTAGAGCTAGGAGGAGATTCAGGAGTAAGTTTGCAAAAGCTGAAAAAAGAGTGGAAATGACCTCCTAGTAAATTAGATAGGATGATTTTAGAGGAGAATATAAGAAAAATGGAGGAAAATGTCAATAGCACAGAACACCTGTGATAATGTAATCAAGGGCAATAAATAATATAGATTTTGAAATGATAAATTATGACAAGTCAAACTGGTGGATTTCAGCCGATTTACAACACTAGGAATTGAGTTCAGCCAAGCAGATGTTAAATGTTTAAAATTTAGGAAAGCACTTAGGGTGAGCTCTCAAAACATTTTCCTTGCAAAATTAGTTCAGATTGATTTGAATATGAACATGCTCAAACCAAACAATACACAGGAGCTCTGGAGCAATGCAAGGTCCCCAGCAGAAAGGGAGATACGAGGAAGATGTTAATGTACTTTTTCTATAGGAAATCTTTTTTTATGTGTCTTTTTTTGATAACTGTAAGGAGACAATTACTCTTTCCTAAACTGCATAAAATAAAACAGAAACAAGGGTATGCCAAGAAAAAGAAATAAGCATATTAGATTCTATTTTTTTTAAAAAGCAATCGAATACGTGATGACTTCCATGGCATCTTGTCTGGCTGATGACTTGCTGCTGAGACTTGGTAATCTGATTTAAAAAAAAAAAAAAAGCAATCGCAATCTGAATCTGGATCTTTTTTCTTTTGAAGAGAATCATGGAATGCCCTGACGCCATTCTAACCATCCCTTCATTACGTAAGCATGCGTTCCCTGCCTCCTGGAAGCTGGGTGCTGTCCTAGTGCTGGGTGCGCGTCAACTCAGCTTGGTATTGAGGGGCTCCTAGAGTCAGTGGAGACGGAGTTCACTCTTAGGTTATACTGCTCATGTTGTATAAGCTTTTATATTTTAAAAGCACCTTCACATACAGGACCTTATTTGGTCCTTGTCACAGCTCTGGGGTGACACCTTGACGCAGGGTGTCTAACTCCTCCTACACCTGTGCCTATGCATTTCAAATGTCCATCTGGGAAGCTTTCCCTGACCCCCTTCCAGCCACGAGTCTGTTGCCCCTTCCTCATGTAGCAGTTCGCTTACACTCCTCTACCAAAGTGTAAAAGCTGTTTGAGAACAAGATAATTGTTTTACATCATCTTACACTCAATTCCCTGGCCCACATTTGGTGGGGAAAGCATGCCTAGGCAGGGGTGTTTGGTTTCATAGAGGAGTCAGTCCCCTACCCTCCCTGCCACCAGCTGCAGCTGATTGGATTGAGGTGGCATTTGTCACAAGCACTGCCAAACCATAGGCTGCTTAACAATCTGTAGAATGACCTCATGCAAAATCATTGGTTGCAGTGAGGCTCTTGAGCTGGGAAATACTAAAAGAACTGGGCAACTAACCCCATTCATTCCTGTGGTGGAAGCAGTAGCTATAAAGACACGAGAAGCTCTGAGGTAGAGTCATAACCATGGAGTGTCATGGTAACCTGAGGTTAGGAGGAAACAAACTGAAGTTTGCAAAAATGGAGAGGTTATACGTACACATGGGCGTCCCTGAGGGATATGTACGCAATCTGGAGTGGAGAATAAGCAGATCAGTAAAAGGGACTGAAGTAGACAGGGAGAGAAAGACTGTGGTAGGGAGGAAGAGGAGTCAAACTCATATGTTCCTGTGCTGTTAGCTGGAGGCATGTCTTGGACCTGCACAATCGTCTGGCCCGGCTTCATGTGCGGAAAGGCCTGGCCCTACCCCAATTCCTGTGGTCATTTCTGTGAGGTTCTTTCCTAGTGTGTATCCTCACAACAACCACCCTTTCCTCACTTCTTTTTGGTAACTGGAAGAGCCTAATCCAGATACCCTTAGGCCTGGACTCCTTAATTCTGACTCACTGCTCTGGCCAGAGAAGGATGTCCAAGAATCAGGTATCCGATTATATCTGTCACCCTTTCTCTACATTCATGTAACCCTTTCTCTGCACTGATGTTTTCATTTGCACAGCGCAACTCCTTAAACAGACAACAACCCAATTCCCACATATTGATACTTAAGGATATGTTTAAATTGGAGTTCCATAATTTGGGGCTTATGAACACCAAGAAACTCTAGATGGTCATTAAGGAGGTCTAGAAACCCTCTGAAATGATATGCAGTGGAAGTTTTTGTGTGTGTAGGGGGGAATTGGGGGGCTGGGGGCGCATTTTTCTGAGGAGAGATTCCATAACTTTAACCAGATTCTCAGAGTGATAAGTTAAGGACCACTAGTTTAACCACTGGCATAGCTGGGTTGCCAAGAGCTCACTCAGATTCTTGGGGTAACCACCCATCAGGATAGCCTTGAATATTTTCTTTACTGCTACCTCTCATGTTATTTGCGCATGAAATGGATCTAATAGTATTTACATAGAGGAATGTTATGAGGATTAAAAGAGGTAACAGATGTAATGTGCTTAGCACAGCTCCTGGCATATAGCAAATTCTTAGTGACAGTATATATTGCATTTTTATTATATGTAATAAATATAAATGTGATCATTTCTTCATTGTCATGATCATTTGTTCTCAAATTCTGGATGTTTATGTTTTATTATTGAGGGCAATATTTTGTCAGAGAATTATGACACTAAAAGGAAGGACAAATAAGCAAATATAATTTTTCAGAAATGGAATTTTTCATTCTCTAGTGCAACATAGTAGCAAATACTATTAAATGGATACTCATATTTTGTACATTTATAAAATGTATAAATGAGTGAAATAGATCTATTTTATACTGATGATCATAATTTTATATACCATAATTATCATTAATAAAAATGATATGAATTTAAAAGTCAGCTTATAGGTTAGTGAAATATTAAAATGACTGGAGTTTTCACTTAATTTGAAGAATTGTTACCACTTAATACATACACACTTAATACCTATTGATTTGCTGTGCCTCCAGATAACTCAGAGACCAAATGCACTGACTAGAGTTTATGTGGTTGTTTTAATATACTGTAGCTGCTTTCACTTGATTATATTTCTTTAATGCCAAGTAAAAACCCACTATGAGGCACATTTTTGGCATTACCAATTAGCTCGCACAGGACAATGTGTCACCCACCCCTGGCCAAACTTCTGAGCAGCTATTTTAAAATAAAAGCAGATACAGTCAAACAAACCTTTCTGAAACTTATGGGACAGATGTTATTGTGACACCCTTAACTTCACCTAAATATTGCACAATGGAATCAGCCTTCCCAGGAGCCTGCCTGGACTCTTAGAAGTGGTGGAAGGGACTCTTGGGCAATGGTGAGCACGCCATCAGCTGTGGCCGTCTGGCTGGTTCTAACAGGTAACTCCTGATGAGGCCTTCATGGTAGAGAAAATAAATCCTCAAAATTCCTGATGAAAGGCCCTTGCTTTTAATTTGACAGATGGTTAGTCAGGTGTACGTGAATAATCATTATACACGACACAGACCCAGCAAAACAAAACCCAACCCAACTCATGAATGTAAAAAATGTCATGTTTTCAAAATAATGACGTTCAGCTTGCTTTTGGGAAAGGCCAGAGCACAACAGTGGCCTTTACCAGTGTAGCATAATGTCCTTGTTCTACCGAGTGGGGGAAATAAAAGAAGAGAATTTTCTGGCCCTCATCCAGTCGCGGAACCTCTACTGACTGGATCAATGACCTGCCATTGCTCTAGCCCACACAGGTATTTGTCTGGACTCCATGTCAGAGTCGGACAAAAGTCCCGCTATTTGTAGATTGTGAAGGGAGTAGTAGTAATGAAAATGGTAGTGCCAGTGATGATGATGATGATGGTGCTTTTATTTGGTGATCTGACTTTTTGGTGGATATCTGTACATAATTTGTGTTATTAATGTGAAGGTCTCAGGTGGAACGTGGTGGTAGGCTTCCGCAGGGGCTGCTTCATCTCTAAGCGAGTGCTCCTCATGCCTGTTGCCCGCACCTGCCCTGGGCCATGCCCAGGCCCAGGGCCAGTGGTCAAATTTTTGCTTTGGTGTGAGGCTGTTACATAGAAACTCTTTGCTCAAACATGTTGAGAACTGATTCTGACCCTTGTCCCAATTCTTCCTTAAGACATCTCTGTGTAGGACACTGTATCAGCACAGTATCTAGCCCATGAGAAGAACTAGTTAGGTACTCTGTAAATGTTTTGCTGCTGCTTCTTATAAAGAATACATGAACGGCTTAATGCAAAGAATGACCTGTTCCACCCGCCCCCCGCACCTCCCTGCCCCCCAGCCTTGTGTATGTGTGTAGAAAGAGAGAGAGAAGGAGGGAAGATTAAGGCATTTGGAAAATTCCTTGGTGCATGACTGGTATATTAGTTGCTGGTATATTAGTTTTTATGTAATAGAGACATGACCATTAGTATACTTTCAAATAGTTCCCAGTTTGAATCCTTGATTTCTATCCATTTTCTGTAAGGATCTCCCATTGTGTTGACTTCTCTGTCTCCAAATTTAGGCAGGAGAATGAGACCTTTAAGCGAGTCTTCTATAAATTCCAGGGCCTCCAGATTGGGTGCCAAGCCCAGGATTAAATTGGATTTAGAATTATAATGGCAGTTGTTTTTAGAAATTCACTTTAGGGAGGGAAGTGGAGAGGTCTCTTGTGTAGCTTTGTTCAGTTTTTTAAGCTGGAACCATGTTTCCCATAGTCCCTTTCCCTATGGCTCCACGTTATCATTGAGCACTAGATACATTTACTAAGATCTGAAAGGTGGAAGTGAAGCAGCAGCCATTGTTCACCCACTGAAGGTGTGTGTGGAAGTCCAGGCACAGTGGTGGGCCATGCACATAGCTCACTTTGTGGACCACCCAAGGCCACAGCTCCTCCAGCAACTACCAGATTCTCTTTCAGCTTCTCTGAGTCCAGATGTGTATTTTAACTCCATGGTAAATCACACTGGCTTTATCGTGCACATTGCCTCATCATTGAGTCAGGGGGGTGAGGAAAGACAGGTGAGTTCCAGTTTGTCCTCGTGGGTTCTAGTTTATTGTCCCAGGTTCTAGTTTGTCCTTGCTCTTTCCTACTTCGCATCTAGCTTTCCTTCCTGACTGCTAGCCCAGGCCTACAGCAACTGCCTGCCCAGCGCCAGTCACAGACGCACCTTGCCTAGACTTACTTTTCCATGAGCTCCCACATTTGAGTAAAGTTTAGCCCCTATGGTAAATCTCTTTTTTACATCACTCATGGTAGTTCTGCTTCTCTAACTAAACCTTGATGGAGGCACTGTTCTAATTCTAAGTGAATACCAGCATCTCTTTTAAAATAGTGGCCTTGAAGTTCCAATGTTCTTTATACTGTCTTAGGGAAGGCATTGAAGATTTTTTTTTTTTTATGTAATTCATCTGGTATCTTAGCTGAAGTTGTAAACTTGAACTTATTTTATGTAACTCAAGTATCAGACTATTCATAAAGGGGGGTAGATAAGATTTACAGTTAAAAAGAAAAAAAGGACAACTATTTGACATCCAAGAGCTGGTAGGATGGGTCAAGTGCATATAGGCCAGACACAGACATTAAAAATGTATCAAACACCTGAGGACATAAGAGAAGTGAAGAATAGATGAGGGTGGCGTGGAGTAAAGTAGGATAAGCACACGTTATATGTGCAGTAAATGTTTATTAAATGAATG